GTACCTCATGTAATTTTATCTTAAGAGTTCTCAGAGCAAGTCATGTTGCCATAAAGTTCCATCATGACTAAGGAACCTGCCCCTCTTCCCTCACCCTTACAAACCACAACTGTTAGCCACAGCTATTTCCACCCAACTCCAGCAAAGGATCACCGCCTTGTCGGGGCGCTGGAGCTTGAGCACCTCAATGATGTCATGAGCGAAACCGTGAAGGGACACCCAAGACGGGACGGTTGTGGCAGAGAGGTCAGACCAAGCGTGATCCCTGGGGAAGGCAATGGCAAAACACTCCAGTATCCTTGCCAAGAAAACTAAATGGACCAGTACAACCAGAGATATGTCGGTATGCCATTGGAAGATGGGACTCCCAGGTCGGAAGATGGCAAAATGCTACTGGGGAGGAGCAGAGGATAAGTTCAACTAGCCCCAGATGTGATGACGCAGCTAGCTCAAAGCCGAAAGGCTGGCTAGCGGCCGACGGTACTGGAGGTGAACGACGAATCCGATGCTCTAAAGATCAACACACCATAGGAACCTGGAATGTAAGATCTATGAGCCAGGGCAAACTGGATGTTGTTATTGGCGAGATGTCAAGACTAAAGATAGACATTCTGGGGGTCAGCGAACTGAAGTGGACTGGAATGGGCCACTTCACATCAGATGACCACCAGATCTACTACTGCGGACAAGAGGAACATCGAAGAAATGGAGTAGCCTTCATAATTAATAAGAAATTCGCTAAAGCGGTGCTTGGATACAACCCAAAAAATGACAGAATGATCTCAATTTGAGTGCAAGGAAAGCCTTTCAACATTACAGTGATCCAAATATACGCCCCAACCACAGCTGCTGAAGAAGCAGAAGTAGATCAGTTCTATGAGGATCTGCAGGACCTACTGGATAATAGACCAAAAAGAGACATTATTTTCATTACAGGAGACTGGAATGCCAAGGTGGGAAGTCAAATGACAACTGGGATCACAGGCAAGCATGGTCTGGGAGAACAAAATGAAGCGGGACGCAGGCTGATAGAATTTTGCCAGGAAAACTCGCTGTGTATAACGAATACTCTCTTCCAACAACCTAAAAGACGGCTTTACACATGGACCTCACCAGACGGTCAACACCGAAATCAGATTGACTACATCCTTTGCAGCCAAAGGTGGCGGACATCCATCCAGTCGGTGAAAACAAGACCTGGGGCTGACTGTAGCTCAGATCACGAACTTCTTATTGCCCAATTTAGAATAAAACTAAAGATATCAGTGAAAATACACAGACCAGTTAGATATGATCTCACTAACATTCCTAGCGAATATACAGTGGAAGTGAAGAACAGATTTGAAGGACTAGATTTAGTAAACAGAGTCCCAGAAGAACTATGGACAGAAGTCCGAGACATTGTTCAGGAGGCGGCAACAAAGTACGTCCCAAAGAAAAAGAAAACCAAGAAGGCAAAATGGTTGTCTGCTGAAACACTGGAAGTAGCCCAAGAAAGGAGGAAAGCAAAAGGAAACAAGGATAAGGGGAGATATGCCCAGTTAAATGCGCAATTCCAGAGGTTAGCCAGAAGAGATAAGGAACTATTTTTAAATAAGCAATGCATGGAAGTGGAGAAAGACAACAGAATAGGAAGGACAAGAGACCTCTTCCAGAAAATTAGAAACATTGGAGGTAAATTTCAGGCAAAAATTGGTATGATAAGAAACAAAGATGGCAGGGACCTAACAGAAGCTGAAGAGATCAAGAGAAGGTGGCGAGACTATACAGAAGATCTGTATAGGAAGGATAATAATATTGAGGATAGTTTTGACGGTGTGGTGAATGAATTAGAACCAGACATCCTGAGGAGTGAGGTTGAATGGGCCTTAAGAAGCATTGCTAACAACAAGGCAGCAGGAGATGACGGGATCCCAGCTGAACTGTTTAAAATCTTAAAAGATGATGCTGTCAAGGTGATGCATGCCATTGCCAGCAAATATGGAAAACACAAGAATGGCCATCAGACTGGAAAAAATCAACTTATATCCCCATACCAAAAAAGGGAAATGCGAAAGACTGCTCAAACTTTCCGTACAGTGGCCCTTATTTCTCATGCCAGTAAGGTAATGCTCAAGATCCTGCAAGGAAGACTCCAGCAATACATGGAGCGAGAGTTGCCAGATGTTCAAGCTGGGTTTAGAAAAGGTAGAGGAACGAGAGACCAAATTGCCAATATCCGCTGGATAATGGAGAAAGGCAGGGAGTTTCAGAAAAACATCTACTTCTGCTTCATTGACTGTTCTAAAGCCTTTGACTGTGTGGATCATAATAAATTGTGGCAAGTTCTTAGTGGGATGGGCATCCCAAGCCACCTTGTCTCTCTCCTGAGGAATCTGTACAAGGAACAAGTAGCAACAGTAAGAACTGACCATGGAACAACAGAGTGGTTCAAGATTGGGAAAGGCGTACGGCAAGGCTGCATCCTCTCACCCAACCTTTTTAACTTGTATGCAGAACACATCATGCGATGTGCGGGGCTGGATGAATGCAAAGCTGGGGTGAAAATTGCTGGAAGAAACATTAACACCCTCAGATATGCAGATGACACCACTCTGATGGCCGAAAGCGAGGAGGAGCTGAGGAGCCTTCTAATCAAGGTGAAAGAAGAAAGCGCAAAAGCCGGGTTGCAGCTAAACGTCAAAAAAACCAAGATTATGGCAACAAGAATGATGGACAACTGGAAAATAGAGGGAGAAACCGTGGAGGCAGTGACAGACTTTGTATTTCTAGGTGCAAAGATTACTGCAGATGCAGACTGTGGCCAGGAAATCAGAAGACGCTTACTTCTTGGGAGGAGAGCAATGTCCAATCTCGATAAAATAGTAAAGAGTAGAGACATCAGACTGGCAACAAAGATCCGCCTAGTCAAAGCCATGGTATTCCCTGTAGTACCCTACGGATGTGAGAGCTGGACCTTAGGGAAGGCTGAGCGAAGGAAGATCGATGCTTTTGAGCTGTGGTGTTGGAGGAAAGTTCTGAGAGTGCCTTGGACTGCGAGAAGATCCAACCAGTCCATCCTCCAGGAAATAAAGCCCGACTGCTCACTGGAGGGAAAGATACTAGGGACAAAGTTGAAGTACTTTGGCCACATCATGAGGAGACAGGAAAGCCTAGAGAAGACAATTATGCTGGGGAAAGTGGAAGGCAAAAGGAAGAGGGGCCGACCAAGGGCAAGATGGATGGATGGCATCCTTGAAGTGACTGGACTGACCTTGAGGGAGCTGGGGGTGGTAACGGCCGACAGGGAGCTCTGGCGTGGGCTGGTCCATGAGGTCACGAAGAGTCGGAGACGACTGAACGAATGAACAACAACAACAACATTTCCACCCAAATTGCTGGAGCTAGAAGGAGAGATGGGTGACAAGATCAGAACTCAGCAAAAAGAATAGCTTTGGTCTGCTCTGAGCCTCCCCTTCTGTATCCAATGGCAAGACAATAGGTAGAGGACTTTACATTGACCCCTCTGACATCTGTTATGGTATAACATCACTGAAGCCCTGTCACAGATCCAATCTGGCAACTCTAGTCATGCAGCGGTGACCTATTATACTACCTATTGTTCTGCAAGCAGATAAGGAACCATTTGTATAAGAGGGTATAGAGAGACTGGAAGGGCAACTGGAATATTGTCTCTGCCTTTGTAAGACTGAACAGAATCATGGTCACAAAGTGAAAGAGAAATGTTGAGAACCTCACTTCTTTAGCTATATTCTAGGCCTCTCATCTGATTTTTCACTTTAAAACTTTTAAAAAGTTAAATTTGTAACTTTGGTACTTGATGAAATGAAATGTAGACAATGATTCAGGCAATATCCTACTCAACTGCTCATGCGATTGCTTCTGTTAACCAGAGTAAATCTCCTGGATCAATGGAAACTTGGTGAGTCAACACTTATATAAGTGCTAGTGATTCAGATAGTTCACTCTATTGTACATATGTAGACTTACTAATATTAGGAGCAGAAAGGCAATTACATATCTAACTTTTTTCAACATGTTTTTATTTGTATTCATATTTAAGATAATTTAATAATTTTAACAATATGCATTAAAGTTCTTCATGTTCTGTAGCAGGGATTCTTTATCTCAGATAGTAGCTTTAGGTTATTTTAACACAAATTTTCTAGCCGGATATAGGATGAGACAATCACTATTAAACTGTACTTTTAAGATGTAGTATCATTGCCATTAATAGACACACATAGTGACAAATAAGTAGGGAACACACATACAACTTTTTTCTTCTTCACAGAACAATAAAGAAGCTTAACTGACCTCTAGTGGATAATGTACAAAATGCCTTTCTCTAAGAATTGATGAGATGTATAAGTCATAAGGAACCTTTGGCCTGCCAGATATTGTTGGACTCTCAGCTCTCATCAACCTCAGCCTGGCCAGTGGTCAAAAAAGGTATAGACAAGTAACGTCACAAGTTCCTCGTTTGTGTTTGCCTTAACTACTTTACAGAATAGGACTAAAATACTGCTTCAATTTTGCCTTGTACTGAAATGTGACAGTGTACCATCCACTCTCATCCAACAGGATACTCTTGAGTTGATACCATGGAATATAGCTAGATTTGTGCATAAATGCAGGTGTGAAAGATGTCTATGTATACAGTTTTTTTCAATATGTTAAAGTGGAAATATTTAATTACAATCAAGAAATGGTCAATGTAGAAGACTTCAGTTATCTTATAATGTAAAATAATCTAAATGTAAGCATATAAGGTAAACTTTTGCTAGTAAAGAGCAAAAGGGTGGCACTTGGGATCTGCATTTTTCATTTCTATGCAGTAGGAGGCCCTTGGACTCATAATTCTGAATTATGAGCTTTGATTTGTGTCTCACAAATGCATAAGTATACCAGATGGGAAACATGCAATATGCAACAGAATTATACTCTTTTGAAAGGAAGAACATTTAAAAAAATAAATTTGAATGAATAGGAATATTTACCTTTAATTTTTCAACTTCATCTTTATGTTCCCTCTTTAATTGCAAAATAACTGAATGGTACTCTGTAAAAAAAAAAGAAATCATTTGTCAGCTCAGTGTTATAGACATTACTGATGTAACTGCAATCTCTGACTGCATGACAATAAGGGTGGCACAGCTGTTGAGTTACCGCATTGTGTTACTGTTAAGAGCCTGAATCCCAAACAGATGGATAATGGACTTTTTCTGTATATTATATATAAATTTTGAATTCTTTTTCTGTTTTGTATTCGTGACTTGACCAGTGATTCCAGCCATGAAAGCCTTCAACAATACATTCCCTCCCTCTTTCTCTCCTTTTTTCCTTCCTCCCTTCTCTCCCTCTTCCCTCCCTTCCTTCCCTCCTTCCCCTTCTTCTTTCCTTCTCACCTTCCTTCCTTCTCCTCCCTTTTTCTTTCCCTTTTTTCTCCTTTCTTCCTTCTCTACCTCTTTTTTCCTTCCTTTGTCCTTTGCTTTCATCCTTCCTTCTCTCTTTCCTTCTTTCTTTATCTCCCTCTTTCCGTCCTTCTGTCCTCTTCTCCTTCCTTCCCTGGTGGTGGATGAGGCCTCCCCACTCGCCGAACCCACCATTGTGTCGGCCGTTCCTAGCTCCTGCTCTGGCTGGAAGAGGGAGGATAGTCGGCAGTGCCTCTTACACTTGCTGTGTCCTCACGCAGGAGTGAGCGGGGCCATGTTATTCATTTGCATGCATGTGCTGTGTAGTTTTCTACCTTTTTTGAATTTTAAAGTTCTTTTCACTGTTTTTGGTGATTTTTTGAGTGATGGTCACTCCTTGGGTTAGTAGGTGTCTTATGGCCAAATTTGGTGTCATTTCGTTCAATGGTTATTGAGTTATGTGCATCCTACAAACTCTTTCTCTCTCTCTCTCTCTCTCTACACACACACACACACACACACACACACACACACACATATAGAAGAAAAGCAGAAAGAAACACTCTTCCTACTTGACAGCAGCATATTGTTTAAAGCAGATATTGGTTCTAGAACTGTCATGTATGCTCAGCTCCCTCTATTTCTCTTGCATGAATGGGAGACAGATTGTACATTCACATATATGCTAATGGGGTGTATATTGACTATTATCAACCACTAAAATAATCTTGGAGTCGGAATACTGAAACTGAAATCGAAGTGTGCAAGGAAATGGACAACCCTTTCAATAGCACCAACAAGTGGATGCAAAATGAAACAAGTATACCAGCATACCGTGGTGGAGTCCTATACCACTGGATAAATTACACTGTTTAGCTGGTATCACACCACCTGGCATCTGCCGGGAAGTAGCAGCCAATAGTGAAAGGACCAAGGCTGTGACATCTCCAGCCCATCCCCTGTATGGGTATCAACCAGCACATCAACGACTTAAATCAAGAAGTAGTTTTCTAAGATCTACAGAGACACTCGCTGGAACACCTCAGCAAGCAAGAGTCCAAAAGTGGCAGTCTCAAACCCAGAACCTCAATCAATGGCTGATACCAAATGAGAGACTCCCCCCTGGGCACACAGAAGACTGGGCGACTTGGAAGGCGCTGAACAGACTGCACTCTGGCACCACGAGATGCAGAGCCAACCTTAAGAAATGGGGCTACAAAGTGGAATCCACGACATGCGAGTGTGGAGAAGAGCAAACTACAGACCACCTGCTGCAATGCAACCTGAGCCCTGCTACATGCACAATGGAGGACCTTCTTATAGTAACACCAGAGGCACTCCAAGTGGCCAGCTACCGGTCAAATGACATTTAATCAACTACCAAGCTTGCAAACTTTGTGTTTTGTGTGTTTGTTAAAAAAACCACAGTACAACTGTTTGGTCTGCTCTTGACATGATAAATAAATAAATAACCAGCATACAAAGCCACAGTTCCCACACAGTTATGATATTTTCAATTTCTGGAAAAAGAAAAAAAATCTGAACGCTATGTGACAAAAATTATATCTCAGAACTAAATCAAGACCATCACTGGAACAACCATCAGGAAACCAATGAACAACTTGATGGTATCAAATGATAATTTAAATTGCTAGAATATAAACTGGAAAAGCTTTCAGCCTTCTTTTTATTTTTATTTTTTTAAATTATTTTTATTGCATTTATTCAATTTAACATAAACATTAAGTAAACATACCTTTATCACTAAATTATTCCTATACTCTATAACTACTACAAATTCTTAACTAACTATAAGTCAATTCAGACTTCTCTCAATTTACAAAACAAAATAATAATAATTAGAATCTGACCAATCCTTATAATCAAGTCACTCATTCACTCTCCAAATACAATATGATAGTAACATATATGCAACATGCACATTCTAGACATGTCCCATCATTCAATCTTATTTTGTTTTGGAAACATAATGATGAGCGCTCTTTGGATATTGACCATGGTCCACTCCTGTTATTTCTCTTTAATACTCCCCCCCCTCTTCCCCTTACCCTTAGTTTGTGCCCCCTCCACCAGGACCAACCAACTCATGTTGTTTCACAATTCCAGAATATCATTGTTTCTCTTGCTGGCTTATACCCCTTTCCCTCATTAAACACATACTCGATAAATTTTCCCCATATTTTCCAAAAGTCTGTTTGTTTACATATACCCCTTTTAATTTTAATATTGCAAGTTAGCTTATCATTAATCGCTATATTCCAAATTTCCCTATACCATTCTTCTAATTGAATTTCTTTTTTTTCCTTCCAATTTTTTGCTATTAACAATTTAGCTGGGGAAAGTGGAAGGCAAAAGGAAGAGGGGCCGACCAAGGGCAAGATGGATGGATGGCATCCTTGAAGTGACTGGACTGACCTTGAGGGAGCTGGGGGGTGGTAACGGCCGACAGGGAGCTCTGGCGTGGGCTGGTCCATGAGGTCACGAAGAGTCGGAGACGACTGAACGAATGAACAAACAACAACAACAATTTAGCTGCTGTTATCAAATTAGAAACCAATTCCTTTTCTTCTTGTACGGGAATTATATTATCATGTATAAGTAATAAAGCTAATTTTGGTGTAATCTCAGTCTCTATTTTTATTATTGCTCTTATTTCTTTAAATATGCTTTTCCAAAATTTTTGTATAATATAACATGACCACCACATATGTAGATACGTCCCTATTTCCTGACAACCTCTCCAACACTGATTCGAATATTTTTTATCAATCTGATTTAATCTAATAGGGGTTAGATACCACCTCCATATCATTTTGTAGTAATTTTCTTTAATTCTGATAGACATATTTTTTAGTATCCTCATATTCCATATGTTTGCCCATTCTTGATTATTCATTTTTTCCCCCAAGTCTGTTTCCCATACTTCCTTCAAATAATCTTGTTCCTGTTCATTCATTAATAACAGTTTATAGATCTGACTTACTGTGCCTTTTAATGTTATATTCTCTTCTTTAGTCTCCCTTTGAGTTATCATCTTTTCTATTTTTGTGTATTCCCTACCTCCATTATACTTTTTCCTTATATCACTTGACCATTTACCCAATTGTAAATACTTATACCAATCTAAGTCTCCTAATTCCTCTTTTATTCTTTCCATATTTACCATTTTCAGATCCCAGTCTTTTATTTTCATTAAACCTCTTCCATTAAGTTCTACTTCAAGTTCTTTTTTTAAATTTTCTGGGAAGTTTTCTGTCATTAAAACTGGCATGATAGGAGAAATACCTGGCATTAGGGTTTTTTTATATCTTCCCCAAATCTCTAAAATATTTTTTAGAAAGGGATTGTTTAAATTGTTATACCATTTCTTTTTACCCTTTTCTCTATTACCCCTATAAAAAATGTATTCTAATTTCAGTTCTAATTTTTTATCATCTTCTTCTAACCACTCCAGGCTCTTTTGTTTTGCTAAACTTTCCACTATATATCTAATTTGATTTGATTGATAATATAACTTGAGGTTTGGTAATCCAAGACCTCCCTCCTTCTGTGACTTATACCATAAACTTTTATTTATTCTAGCTTTTTTGTTCCCATTACAGTACAGATTTAACATGTTTTGCCAGATTTTTATTTCTTGATCTGAAATTTTTACAGGTAGCATTCTAAATAGAAAATTTAGTTTGGGTAATATCTTCATTTTAATTAATGCTATCCTACCGAACCATGATAATTTGAGCTTATTGTATTCCAGCAATTTCTTATCAATTTCCTTTCTTAATTTGGTTAGATTATTTATTTCTAAATTTTTTAAATCTTTAGTTATATTTATTCCTAAATATTTAATTGTTTCTTTGATTTTAATTTTAATGTTCCCTTCCTGTTTTATATTTTTTATCTCTTCTTCTCGATAATTAAATATCATCATTTCTGATTTGTTCCAATTAATTTGTAACCCTGTCATTAATCCAAATTCTGTTAAATGAGCCTCAATTTTCTCCCAATGTTTTATTGGATGTTCCATTGATAAAAGGGTGTCATCTGCAAACAAATTTATTTTATATTTCTGCTTTATTCCTATTCCTTTTATACTACTATCATCTCTAATTACATTAGCTAATAGTTCCATTACAATGGCAAATAGAATTGGGGAAAGAGGACATCCCTGTCGCGTGCCTCGTGTTATATCTATTTTCCCTGTTAATCCATCATTCACCATTACTTGGGCACAATTTTTGGAATATAATTTATCAATTAGGTTTCTAAATTTTTCTCCAAATCCAAATTTAGCTAATATTAATTTCATTGTCTGCCAGGATACACTATCAAATGCCTTATAAATATCCAGAGCTAATACTCCTGCCACTAAATTTCTTTTTTTAATACTATGAATTACGTTTAATACCCTACCCATTAAATTTGACATTTGCCTTCCTCCTATAAATCCACACTGATCTTCTTTGATATATTTATATATAAATTTATTCATCCTTTTAGCCAGTATGGCAGTTAATATTTTTGCGTCTTGGTTTATTAATGAGATAGGTCTGTACGATCCTGGGTCTGTAGGGTCTTTATTGGGTTTTAATATCAAAGTGATCAATGACTGTTCCCATGATGGCGGAAT